ATATATTATTATATATCCCTCATATCAGGCACAAAGTGTAAGTAGCTCACTTACTAAGTGTAAAATCCTAGTAAAAACAATTCCACTAACATTTTAAAGTTATTTAGCTCACTTTTCTGACAGACAGAAGACGAGAGCAGCCGTTTTCTGCATATAATTATTTTCCATGGTTTTGTTGTGATAACAACATATTATGTCGTTATCACGAATTAACAAGGGGTGTTTTCTCAAGATAACGAGTTAATTTGGTTTTTCTCTAGTGCATCTTTGAGAAACCATGGAGGCGACCTGGTCCCCTCAGCTTCTCACAGATGTAATTTGCTATTTTTTAAATTTATTTATTTACATACTTTACAAGGCAGCCTGAAGGCACAACCCATTCTCACCCCCGACTCGTCACATATTGAAACTTGGACAGGTACCATCTGCGTCCAGCTTTGGACACATCAGGTGCACCCCTTGCRTCAGTTATTAACGAGATGAGACAGGAGGAGCACGTTGTCATATTTTTAAAAGACTAGGAAATGCACAACAACTAACTGTCCCAGACCCTAAATTTAACCTCTATACCATATTCATCTTATACCTGATCTCAATACCTAAAATTAACCATTAAAGTGCCTGTGATGTCAATTTTTTGTAAAATTATGAATGCATTTTTAGAAAGAGGACATTGATAGAATATTGCAAAAGAAATTTCACGTTGCTGAGATGAACAGTTTTTGAGATATTTGCCTGTGAAGTAACAGGAAGTGATGTCAGAGGGGAATGTCTGCATGTAAACAGAGCGTTGCTACAATAGCTAACAACCCAGACTGTAGAGAAGAATCTGTTATTTCTTTACAATATTTTGAGTCTCGATCAGAGAAGAAGAATCAGATCAAATAATAATGTTCTTTTTAATATAAGTCATAATTWAATTTAGTTAAATTCTTTAAGGGTTGTCTCAGCTGTAGTCCTTTTCTCAAACCAACCTGGAAGAGGGTAAAAAAGTTMTTCTCAATAATTTCCGTCTTGACATTGTGATAAAACCAGAGAACTTAGGGAGGGTAAAAACAATTCTGTTTTTTATTATTAAAATGTCAGCAGGTAAATCGTTCACTGATCATTTAAATGATGGTAAACTGGATGTTTCTATAAGCAGCTGGTCTTTTATGTTTTGATGTTTGTTAAATAATAGGGATTGTGTTTTTCCTGCTGAGTTCCTCAGCGTGACGTCAGATCCCTGTCAGATTATCTGTGGTGTTTCTGTCAGATTAGGAGGGGGGTATTTTAGTCTGCAGCATCACTTCCATCCAGCCCGTTCACTGCTGCGTGTCCGTTGAGTTGCTCTCACACAAACTCTGGCTTTTACCTGGAACTGCGCTGCGTGTGGGAGAGAAAGCCGATTTGTCCAACAGAGGGATGTAGGAGGGAAGGAAAGGAGAAAGGAAGCACGGTGGGGGATTAGGAGACAACATCTGTGCATTAGTTTTATATTTAGCAAGTGAAGACCGGTTGTTCTGCTTCACTGCTGTTAACATGATTCTCTTGTTTGATTCTGGGGAACAGGATAAAAGCTCTGCTTCCGCTGCCGACAGCAGGACTGGATTTATAAAGTAAAGAATGAAACATTCTGTGGTTGGAAGCAGATTTGAGACGTCTTGGTTCAGAAACACRAATAAATGAAGTTGGACTAGTGGACCATGTGTCTGTTCCTCTGCTCCGGTGTTGGGTTTGATTTGTCTGCAGTGTTTTATGTAGATGTGATGGTTTTTCAGAACGCAGATGTTCTGGTATCTGACGGCTCCAGCTGCTCACCTGGTTTTCATCAACACCTGGACCAGAGCAGCTGCAGCTGTTTACACTGCGTGCTGCTGCCAGAGAGCACGTTAACAGCRTTCCTGACACGCTGACTCAGCGCAGTGTAAAACTCACCTGAASGCTTCCTGTCAGACATGAAGATCATGGAATTCAGTCTGTTAGCGAAACATCTCATGAATGGATTTTATTGGAACCTTCAGAGTCTAAAACTGTC